TCGCGATGCCAACTCCATGATAGCCTGGGTCAGAACAAGTCCTGGCAAGAGCACCACCACACCAGCCAAAGAAACCGCCGAGAAACAGACATGGTCTCCAAACGCCCGTGCAATGAATCCAACCACAATACTTGACGTCATTTCGAAAAGAGGCCCGTAGATTGGAACCTTGGCGGCCACCATGCCCAGAATCCCGACAATGAGTCCGCAAAGTCCTGCCAGCGCAGTGTCGATCCAGCTTCCATTGAATGCTAAAGGAGCCACACAGGCTGACGAGCCCATCCATGCGAGTACCTGTAGCCACAAAGGGAAACAGCTAGGTTGCTGAGATACTTTCTCAAGTTCCTTGTTCGCCGTCTCGATGGATTCGCCCCGCAAGACACCTAGGGCAATGGTGTAGACACACGAGAGTTTATGCATATCCATTCCTTGTGTGCATCGAAGATGGCGCGTGTCGCTTGTGTGTGTGTCTGGATCACTGAAGGAGATGGTCATATGTCCAGGCATGAGTGAGAATGAAGCATCGACCTCCATCTTTTGTGCCAGCTGCAGACATGTCTCTTCAATGCGATGGGATGGTGCACCATAGAGGATCAAGGCTTTGGCCATCATGATCAAGAATGACTGTCTCGTCAAAATCTCGGCAATATCGTGATGGATACTACGGTTTCCTTCGTCATCGTCGTCATCGTTGTATAGGCCTACACCGTATCGTCCTCGGCGCTGGATTGATCGAATGCCGCGTAAACCTCCCTTGCGGGATGGCCGACTGGACGGCGTCAAGGTCTTGCTGTCTTCCAAATTCTCCTGGTCAAAGAAGCGAGAGCTCCTGGGGGAGGCACGAGGTGTGGTAGTGAGAGAGGGTGTAACGTCCTTGAGACTGGTCACAGAGCTGTTTCGGGAACTTGACCGGTAGTGAAATCCCTTCCTCGTCTTTTTCGCAGAAGCTTGTTGTCCCGATGACACCCGTCTGTTGCTATCCCTCGTTGGTGAATGAGAACCTTTGGTCAAGGAGGACAAAGATGACGATGACGATGACACTGCTGCTGCTGCCACTGCTTCATGCCGCTGTAACTTGAGCAACTGGCTCAAAATGCCGCCTTTGGGTTTCCGGCGGCTTACTCGGTCGGCATCAAGGCTGCTGTTCTTTTCGCACTGATCAAAATTCACGACATGACTCTGGGGTTTTTCCTCGCCTGAAGTCACAACCTCCATGTAAGAGATCTCGCCACCCTTCTGGGCAAAAGACTCAAAGTCGCTTGCTTCTCCATTGTCGTTGTGTCTAAGCTTGCCTGTGATTGCTCTTTTGATCGAGCTCAAGTTGAGTCCTGATGGATCTGGTGACGACGAAGTGGCTGGACCTGAAAAGGGCCCTGATGTTGCAGTTCCCAAGATGGGATCCATCAACGAAGGCCGGCGTTTGTTGGAGGAGGACGGGTTCTGATGTGATGGTGCAAACGTAGGCAATGGGACAGTGCCCAAGAAGCTGCCTCCAATTCCTGGGTCTTCAATCGCTCTTGCAAAACGCTCAACACCCAAGTTTAGTTTCTCAAGCTCTGCCTTGGGTGACCCGAGTGGTGTTACTGTAGGTGAGGGTGGAGTACAGGTGGAATTAGATGGTGGATCTGACTTTGCCTGTGTGAATGGTCTTGAAGCTGGCAAAGCAAATCCGGACGACGCTCCACCTACATGATGATGGAGGAGTGAAGTGGCAACAGAGACCTTTGGCTGTGGTGAAGGTTGGGCTGGGTCGGTTGGCAGTGATGATGGCAAAGTATGCTCATCCCGAGACAGGGCCCTGCGTAAACTCGGATGTGTGAGATCGGACATTGTGCAGGCGGATTTTAAAGAAGAGGACTGTGCAGCTTTCCGAGGTGTATGGTGATGAAGGCAGGAAATTGAAGAGCTGTCTTGGGTAAAAGCAAACGAGGAAGCAAGAGTTATGTTATGGACGAAGTAGACGAAGGAGAAAGAAGCAAGCAACGAAACAGTAAAGAGAGAAAGAGAGAAAGAAGATGAAGAATGGCGTGAGAATAAGAAATCGCATCAGATCAAGATACTTTTCTTTTCCCTCTCTCTCTCTCTCTCTATCTCTCTCTCTCTCTTACAATCCATGCACATGAGCGACATGGTACGTTCCAACAGCACAGTTGTACAGACGGTTGACCAGACACCTTCTTGTCGCCTCAATTGATTGGCTCAAACTTTCATTATTGTTATTATTATTTTTTTTTTGACTTTTGGGGGCTAAATGGATTAAGGTTTTAGTACCTTATTTGGAAGGCAAATCAGACGTGTGACTGGATTGGGGGAATGGGGGATTGGGTTATCGTTCAAGGTGTAGGCGCTGGAGATCGGCAGATGGGCAGAATGCGTCACTCATGGGTACACATTCATCACGTAAATAGAAGGTACCTGAAGTTTGTTTCTTCTTGTCGTCGCCGTCGTCAGGATCACCATCGCTGTCACCACTGTCGTGGATTGATTCTTACATTCATTGGCGTCTTCACGATGAGCACAGCCTATCGCACTTCACATCACTAATAGCATACAAATGTGACGAACCATGTAGTCCTTGCATTTCATTTCGCCTTCTCTCGTCATGTTGTAGTTCAATCAATATTCAGTTCGTATACAAATCGGAAAGACAAGTGGGTTCTGCTTAAAGTTGATGGATTTGCCACTGCTTCGGTGTTCGCAACAATCAATGAGAGTCGATCTGGCCCGCAGTTTTAAAAAAGGAGCGAACGACACGTGGCGGAGGCGGCGCAGAAATTAAAAATATGGATCACAACTTTCTCTTCACCTCTTTTCTTTTCTCACTTTCACTTTACTCTTCTCACTTTGACCGCCCATCCGAACCGCTCATCCTTGTAGCCATACACTGCATCAGCAAAACACTAAAAAAAAGAACAAAAGGATTACAATGGGTTCTATCTTCTCTAAGGTGTTTTTAGCTCTATTTGCTAATTCATCAGATGACTACAAGATCCTAATGTTAGGACTGGATGCGGCAGGAAAGACGACCATGCTCTATGAACTAAAATTAGGCGAGATCGTGACGACTATCCCTACGATCGGCTTCAACTGCGAGACCGTGAAATACAAGAACCTGTCATTTACTGTATGGGATGTCAGCGGTCAGTGGGGCATACGAAGACTCTGGCATCATTACTTCAAGGAGGCACGAGCAATCATTTTCGTCGTCGATTCGAGTGATCTAGATCGTATCAGCGAGGCCAGGGATGAATTCCAAAGACTATACTCAGAGGATGATCTTCGTGATGCTCCCATCCTCGTTTTTGCTAACAAGCAAGATATTCCTAACTGTATGTCCGTGACTGAGGTCGCGGAGAAGCTAGGAATGGCTGTACCCCAAAGACATGGCCGTAAAGTTCATATTCAACCGTGCTGTGCTTACAAAGGCGAGGGACTTCAGCAAGGACTTGAATGGCTCTCACGACAGCTGGTGGGTCATAGGAATAGTTAAGAGAATGCAACATTTTTATCAATATACCACTGTCATCGCAGACGACCATATGTATGATTTTGTCAAGTATTTTGTGTTTGATATTGAAGATAAAGATGAATGCAAAGGAAG